CCAAGGGAAACCAAAAATTATGTGGATCGGAGTGCTAAAATGGAGACGAATGTCCATGACGTATCGGGAATGGTGTTGAAATCCAACACACTAGTAAAAACAAAGAGGGCAACATTACGAGGGACAGAATTAAATCGACACACGGACTCGGCAAATGTGCATGTAATCGCAGAGAGAGCGAATGCCTCGAACCAAGGGTCAAAGTGGGTCGGGTGCGCGAATTCTGGTTATGTGCAGCACAATTTTTCACCACACACTCCCACGACACAGAGAGTGAGAGAAGAAACTACAAAAACGAACCCCGAAAACCGTGATCGAATTATCGAAGTGATAAGTGGTGAACGAGGCAACATGAGGAAAGTAACGCATAAATGCGTTCGAAACCGCTACCTAGCGTTTCCCAGGATTTAACAAAAACAAAAATGAATATTCGTCGGAGTCATGATGTATCAGAACCGATGTAACGCAATATCGATGTTTAACGCTTGTTTAATTTTCTTTGCTCAATTCAAAATAACCATGTTAAGTTGTGACACGTACGCGCGCGTTGTAAGGAATAGCAGCAAAACTTGAGGACAATCGATGGTTCATGATGGAAGAAGGGTATACATTTTTTTAAAAATAACCCGTGGCCATTTGACCACTGGTCATTTTTAAAAGGGCGGAATGTTGTATACTAACCCTTCTTCCATAATTGAGATTAATAATATTTGATGATTTTTATATATTATCTTTTTACTTGTTTTTTTAATGAGTGAAACACACCAAGCGCAGCAAACTGCAAAACACCAGGTGTTGTTAAGTAATGAACCGGAGGAGGGCTAGGATGGCAGAATTTACAACGTTGCTTCAAGGGAAGATAAGGCCTGATGAACGGGCACATGTCACCCGTGCAGGCGGCAGAGACAGTGGGAGTGTCAGCCAGACATAGTTAAGGCAAAAGCCCAATCATCCTGCATGGTTTTAAAGTAACGTCAAAATTCGAAATTCAACAACAGAGTAGGCTAAATTATCGATCCTCGCGCTCGCTCAAACTGGAGACCAGGCTGCGAGCTACATCAATGAACCATTGCCCATTTGCTAATCCAATACTGAATGTTAATATTACTGAAGTCAAAACGAATTCTATGACCTCAGCACATGGGCAAATAATAGGGCAGTGTCGACTCAAAGGCAATGGAAGAAAACAGAGGCGCCTTTGTCTAAATCACAACCACAGAAAGCCAGGAATCATCACTGATTGTGTGTTCAGGAATTCCGAGCTAGTTAGAACACGTGCACAGGGGGGGAGCTGATGTAAACAACCCTGCGCGTCTGGATGTGAGGGGGCCTTTGACCTGAAAGTAAGAATAACACTCCCAGAGCAGAAGGTTGGATGACCACAGTGAGACGAGAATAAGAGTGGTGTATATCTCTCAAGGAGGCAGACCCAGCTGAACAACAAGGCTGCGGGGTCACCAGAAGTTCGCATTCGCCTAGTTAAGACAAAAAGCTCAATTATTCTGTATTGCTATTAAAGTAACGTTAAAGTCGGAATTTAACAACAGGGTAGGCTAAAGTTATCGATATTCACACCCACTCCAATTAAACCAGGCCACAAGTTACGCCTACTGAACCATCACCATTATTAAGTCAATATGAAATGTTATTTCCATACTTCAATACTTTCTATACAATTCGACCCGAAGCATATGACAATCAGAACCTTCCTAAGTCAAAATTGAATCGCACCCAGACAGGAGCGAATAGTCAATATAAGGTTGAAGAGGGAAGGAAATCAAGAGCACGGCGAACTGCAAACGTAAGCAAAAAGCCGGGAACAACACCAGCCCAGCAACAGCGAGTGGGGCTTCGACAGGCCATAAAGTAGAATAATAACTCCCGGGGTCAGGGGACACAAGAAGAAGCAGGCAGACAAAAACCAGAACTGACTCCAAGGTTCAACCGCCCTCACCTACTCAGGGGTGACGGAAATTAATGAGGCCTTGAATTAACGGCAGGCAACAACAACGGCGAGCAGAGATAGGGTGGGGCAAAGACTGCGGGCTATGGAATGCAACTTCGTGTCAGTAAAGCCCTGACAAACAAGTTAAGTTAAAGACATCACAATACATAATATCGCACATAACATCAATGTTAACGCTATTCACCGTAAACTATATTCCGCTTATATAACCATCCAGGCACCAAGGAATACGAATTCCTAGGATCAAGAAACTTACCCCTTAACCTAAGATATCGGGAATAAATTAATAGTAATAAGTATATGCATGAAAAGACAAAAGTAAAACTTATGGAAAAGCCAGGATAACGGGATGAATCACCACCAGGTCGAATATAAATACATAATAAAAAAAAAAAACAATGTTAAACCCAGGGTCGGAGAGAAAGGGAGATCCCGGCCGTCTTTGTATCCCCGCAGCGCGGGATAGGAGTGTGTGTACGCTCGGGGAAACACCTACACTTGGGTCGGGAACCACGATGGGAAACGACAGACCTTAGGTTACATACAGAATCATAACTGTGAAATAGTAAGGGACAAATGTTAACTTAAAACTTTTAACCATTTCTTTGTGCGCCGGGTCGGAGAGAGTGTTGCCCCTCCCTCCAGGTTGTGCAACACGAACAAAGACGCCTATGAGACGATTTGTAACGTCTGTGTTTTGGGTTCATGAAGAAGGCCAGACAAGAGATAAATTGCACCCAGACAGAGAGACGACTTCGAGACAATTTGTAACATCTGGTTGTTTGCTCGTGGGTTTTATGGAGGGAGTTGACAACGGAATATACCGTCAGTGATGCACACAAGGACATACGGACACACACATGGACACACCTGCCTACGGACAGATCCTGACACAGCAAAAATCGGAAGCCCCGCCTTGTGGGCGGGATCCAGGGGGATTTTTCAGCATAAAGGAACGGATCCTGAACATTGGAAACCAGTGCGACGGGAGGGTCCACTCAGAAGCTCGACCGGGAGGGTCGACTCAGGAACGAGTGCGACGGGAGGGTCCACTCAGAAGCTCGACCGGGAGGGTCGACTCAGGAACGAGTGCGACCAGAGTGGGTCCACTCAGGAGTGCGACCAGAGAGTCGACTCAGGAGCGAGGGCGACCAGCGGGTCGACCCAGGAGCGAGCTCGACCGGGAGGGTCGACTCAGGAGCGAGCTGCGACCAGCGGGTCGGCTCGACTCATCTTCAGCTCGTCAATCTCTGCTGCCGCCGGAGATCTCCGCTGCCGCCGGTGGTGAGCGTCGCGACTTGGCGACGATCCAGCGCTGCACGCTACGAGCGAGTTGTGGGCGCCACCTACCGACCGGGTTCCGAACTGCGACAGCGTATCAACAGCCATCCGAGCCAATTCACCACGGTGACAGGGGAGCGCCTGATACGTATGACGCGCACCGCCCCCTCACCACACGACCACCAGGCGTCTGTTTGACATAAAGAATCGACTCCGAACACTGACTATTCAAGACAACTCTTACCACTCAAACACACTCGAACCCATAAGTCATCCGTGGCTGGGAAGGCATCACAACGAGACCGAGTGGTGGCCATCCGTCGTTTATAAGAGTATTCTTAATTTTTATCTTTAATATTTAGTGGGCTGTACTCTTAATCGCATAAATTCCCAACAGATCCATCAATACGAACTGATTCTTGGCACCTCCTTCCGCCGAGCCACGCTCACGTGGGGAGTGGTGGCCCACCGGATCCTTATCAGGTGATCTGGTCCCCAATTAGTAAACTTGGTATAAGATAACGATCTTCGGAAAAGGAGCACCGTCGCAGGCCCTTACTCCGAGCCGTTCTGAGATAACCTGCCGATGTATCTGTTGAGATTGGTGCCTTTAAGAATAATAACTGTTTTTGATTGTGTTTTTTTTTTATCGCCGTATTATCTTTCAAGTATCTTTCAGTCATAATCGCCGCACGTACTCGCATCCTCTACAGAATATTCAACTGTTCCGTGACCCAAGGTGCTAACAACGTGATAAGGGTTGCGTATGATCAATAAGGAGTGCGGTACTGCGTGAACAATATTGAGTATAATCATTCATTAACGTTAAGGTTTTCTTAGCATAGTATTTGCATGTTTTAACGACTCTCTCTCTCACTAACAACCATCGCGTTATGCGGGATCCATGTGCCGTTGTCAAAGTGAAATCAGACAATCGTTGATGATACTGTATTGATGCCGTATTGACGTTCCGGGATTGAGAGTTCGCATACTATATCATAGTTAAGGTTGAATTAGTAATAAATTGATCAATACAGAAGTGGTTGTGTGATTCTTTCCTGAAATCTATGCATAAGATCTGCTTCTGCGTTGAGATTTGAACTTGGTGACCTTAATAAACACACTAATACATACTCAGTAAATGTTAAAGCGATAACGGGGTAACCGGGGTCTGGTTATTATAACGACTTGCGTTATCATAATTACACCCACTCGCATAATTAATACGATTACCTCTCGAATTGGCATAATTAAAATGTGCGTAATTACATAAATTAACATATTTCCGGATAATTACACATTTGGCCAAATTTCATTTAATTATTATTATTTCCACTGAATATTCATAACCCACATATACAACATAATAATTTCACCCACGCACGCATACAACATAACAAATTTTCATACCCAACATATACAACAGAAGGCTACTGTCACTGTGGCCCACGAGGGGGTGGGTGGCCAGCACCATGCCCGGCCACCTTTGTCTCCCTAGTGGCGATGTTTACTACACACCGTACCAGGCTACTCATTTGAGACTGAGTCGACCTAGGAGAGGCCCAGGACCGGTTCAGATAATCGTCACTAGTGTTGGTGGCTGTGAGCAGGGAATCCAACTTGGGTTGCCAGGTTCATAGCGCAAGCGTACTAACTGCCACACGACCGCTCTCCATATGTATATATATACACATCTAATCACATGCAGTGGTGCATATTTTCTAACATTTTAACATCAGCTTTTTGTTTTCAGGTAATCATGGGAACGTTATCAATGTAAACGGTGCATTGTCACTGAGCAATGTCACTGTATCCGAAAGCAATGAGGAGTATGGATTGAAGGTCTTAAACCCATTGAATGTGAACGTGTCTGGTTCAACATTCAGAAATAACAGGTACACCTTTTTAAATGGTACTATTTTCCATTAGAGGCTTAAATGTAAATGTGTTGTTAAACCTGCCACCAACCGACACAGCCAATTAGTAGACTTTGTCATGTAAACAAAACGTGCCAATTCGTTACTAGTTCAGCACACCGGTTGAGTGTTGGAGAGTAAACCCACCACATTTACAATTCGAGTACCGTGATGTTTCGCTGGTAATTACAACCAGTATCATCAGGCGACGTCCAGGGTTGTGGAGAAATACTCCTCCTGTTTTGGTGTTAAATAGCGGGATAACCCAAATAACCTCTATTATAGATAACATTGGCCGCAAGAGCCTACGTGTTAAACTGGTGCTATTTTACTTCACGGTTTTGATTTTATTAAGTCAATGCATGTTTTAATATATCACAGTTCGTTAAAGAAATCTATCTGCTCAATACTGATATAGAGTAGAACCACTCTTAACGACACTAATTAGTTCCATGAAACCACGAAAGTGGTTTGGTCGTTAAGCGAGTATAGCAAATACACATTAAAAGGTTAATTTGTTACCGCTAGCATCGAAAGTTACCCTTTTTCACCCAAAAAACCTACTTTATCATATTTAAACAATGGATAGTAATACATAAAGATACTAATACCATTATAAACGCATAATATTAATACAAATAATGCTTAATAAATGTACTGTACCTACAACAGCCCATCGTTAACAGGGGAATTGTCGGTAAGCGAACACATTGGGCTCTAAATCTTGACTCAAAGCTTTCGTGACTGCAGGAATTCATATTCTTTGGGTCTTTCGGTAAAGTCACGAAGATGGGTTAAAAGAAAAGAACAAAAAAAGAACAAAAAACTACGACGTTTCGACCACAACACGTCGTTAGGCGACGATTGCTTGTGTTGTGATCGAAACGTCGTAATTTTTTGTAATTTTTTTGTTCTTTTCTTTGAACCTATCTATGTGACTTTACCGAAAGACCCATAGAACATTGGGCTCTATGGAGGCCCCTCGTTAAGAGATTAGTCGTTAACAGGGTGGCTCGTTAAGAGGGGTTCTACTATATGTTTTTGCTTTCCGTTATCCCTCGCAAATGATTGTTTTACCCTCTGAACATGCAATGCAACGGTTCCACTACACACGAACTTTGGCGTTCAAGTTCGAATTCCCCCAACCCGTCAGTCGACCGGCTGCAGAATAGCTCCGGGGTTTCTTTGCCCTAGGTTCTCTGGTGGCACATAAACTAAAACTACAACCCAATTACTACTGAGCTATGTAGCTCTTTTTCAGAAGCGATTTGGCTATGACACGATAGCTCGACGAAGTGGCTATCATCATCATCACGTGGAAAAGTGTAGTCGCAGCCACATTCTCTAAACCAAGGCCGTAATTATAATATATATTGGGGGGACACACCCCCCCCCCCCCCATATTCAAATATGCTCAAAATGTCCCCTCCCAATATATTGCTGTAAAATAAATTTGTGTTTATATTATTGTGGTTATGGTTGTAATTTAATAATCCCTAATCTGCCATTACATACAATGAAACAAGAAAAGGTCAAAAAGAAAATCAGAGCAATGTAATGCAATACACTCTAAGACTTTATTGTAAAAAAATAAATAGAAAGTGCATCCTATATGTTAGTGAATTTTTTTTTTATTTTAGGCAGGAAATTCGTTTTCAAATTGAGATATTTTTTTTCTGGGGGGGGGGACCCCCAGACCTCCTGGAAGATTTGGTCCCCCCAATGTTGACTCCATGGCTACGGCCTTGCTCTAAACGCATGTCGATTCTAAATGTGGAAGGGAAAAACCGGAAGACCCGGAGAAAATACACACGACCACAGACATGCAAACTCCAAATATTACAGAAGGCGTCAGGGTGGGTATCGAACTCATGACCCTCCTGTTTACCAGGCGAGGTAGTTAACATTTCCTAGCTACTGTGGCGCCGTGCTGCCTACGTTGAGTGGGTATCGGTGACAACATTATAGCAGCAGCTACTAAAGCAAGAGCAGTAGCAAGAGTAGCAGACGTCAACTACAGTAGGAGGCAGCATAATCGGAATATTTATTTATACCGGAGACAAATTCCGGTGGGAGAAAGTATCGACAGCAGATGCAACGGTTTCAGCAGCAGACACTGCAGCCTCGGCAGACACAGCAACTATGGTAGACACAGCAGCTGCAGGAGACAGCAGCAACAGCAGCTATAACAGACACAGCAGCTACAGCAGACACAGCAGCACCAGCAGACACAGCAGCTACAGTAGACACAGCAGCAGCACCAGCAGACACAGCAGCTACAGCAGACACAGACGTTACAGCAGACACATCAGCTACAGCAGACACAGACGTTACAGCAGACAACCGGCATAGACACTACAGCAGACACAGACGTTACAGCAGCTACGCCAGGCACTGCAGCTATGGCAGACAGCAGACAAAGATGTTACAGCAGAGACCAGCTACAGCAACCACATCAGCTACAACACACACAGCAGATACAGCAGCTATGGTAGACACTACGGCAGACACAGACACTACGGCAAACACGGCAGCTACGGCAAACAGACGCTACAGCACCACCATGCGATCCAGAATCAGAAGAAAAATCAGAATCTGTATTTACAACGGAGGATTCTGATGGGCTATAAAGCTCTTTTTCACAGGTTGTCCACTTAAGCCCACTCAGCTCCACATCCTTCCGCAGAACGCCAGGCTCAAATATCTTCTCTTTTCCACCAGTACTCTGTGCAATTGGTGTATTGGTGTAAACCAAAGTTAATGACATTTGGGGACCTTTTTTCCAGTGTAATTGAGCTCCCCAAATTACATACATACGAACACATATGCTCTGATAAAATATGTATTGTCTTTGAAACTGGTGTAGACCAATCCGTTTCAAAGACAATGCATATATATATATTCTTGTTTCTTTCGGAAAAGTCACAGAAAATTAAAATAGTAAAATAAACACCAGCGGTCCGCTTGTGTTGTGATCGAAACGTCGTGGGTTTTTTACTTTTATTATTTTCCATTTATTATTTAAAAATTAATTTAATTATTTTTATTTTCTATCTCCGTCACTTTACTAAAAGAACCGATAAAATGAATTCCTGCAGTCACGAAAGTTTTAAGTCTAAATTTACAATGCGTATATTATCAGAACCCATTTTTTTGTCCGTTTTTCCACAGGTATGTGTGGTTAATGCAGACTCGATGATGCCTTGCAATGAGATGGTATCTATTTGGTGTATGAACATCTTGACACAACTCCTGTTTTATTGACAGAAAGGGTATAATGCCTAAATAAAGCCTATTTTTATATTTGTTTCATTATGAAGTTAATGAGTTCCCCCACTTGCCGTGCTGGCTATTCAATTTAGGGGCCGTCCATAAATGACGTCACGCGATTTTTGACAATTTTTGACCCCCCCCCCCCCCCTTCGTCACACGGCGTCACAATAAGTCAGACCCCCCTTCAAATATGACGTCACAAAGCTCTGCCCCCCCCCCCCCACCAAAAAAATGCTTCAATTCGCTTTAAACTATTGTCATTGTAGTGCGTATTTAATGTGGCGCTATACTCTGATGTTGTAGGAGAAAACATTTATTAAAAAGTCGATTTAATTAAGTAGAACGTGTTGTCTAGATTTAAAGTTGCGCATTTTGATGTGACGTCACATTTCTCAACCCCTCCCACCCTCGTCACACATCGTCACAAATGTCTGACCCCCCCCCCCCTAGGTGCGTGACGTCATTTATGGACGACCCCTTAGAGGAAATAAATCAAACTGTAATCTCATATTCCTGCCGCGCTTGTGCACTAGCTGGCCTACAACCTGCGCACGCTATTCAGCGCGCACGCAATCTTGCAACGGACTTTTTTTCATTCACAAATCATGTAGTCTTCTAGGTCGCGAAATACCGATGGTATACGGTCTCGAGCGAGACTTCCAAACTCTCTCCTCCTTCTTACTCCGGGAGCTACACAATGCTGGGAGCTGACGCCACCACCACCAATCCGCCCCCCCCGATCCCTGCCTTGTCATTCGGACAGGGACAGCGAACGTGTCTGCCTCCACATTTAGATTCAATGCCACGCGTTTAGACTATTTCGATTATTTGGCTGCTGTTTATACATTTCCACGTGATCGATGATGATAAGCCACTTCGAGAGTCCCGAGTACCAGTAGAGGCATAGGCAAATCTCCATTTTTCTGTCTCTGCACGTAAATGAAATCAATTGTGAGTATTGTGCACGGTACCGATAAAACGCTTCTCTCAGGTCACCTGATAAAATCCGTTTTTGGCGGCCGTGTCATGAACGTGAGGGATCACGCGGAGGGCACGGTAAGGGGGTTTAGACGTAGGAGGTCCACGTATGGCACAGAGTACCATGCCCAGGAACATGATTACTAACGAAAGGCGCCAGAGGAAGAAAGGCAAAAGGGGACTGGATGAAACATGCACGAGATACAGATCGGTGCCAAAGACTAAGGGGAGAGGAGAGGGGATATATATATATATTTTTTATATCTATTTAATATGAATTCGATTATTTGGCTGCTGATATCAATTTCCACGTGATGATGATGAGCCCCTTCGTTGAGCCGCTATCATTTGTGATAACGTTCTGATCTCATGCCCCTAACTGAACATCTGTGAGAAAAGAGCGTTGTAGCTCATCGGATTCCTCCTGCAGGATAAATACAGATTCTGATTCTGAAGGTGGTGGTTATCAACACCGCCACCACAGAAAAATGTGTTACCACGAGTCTCGCATTAGAGGGCGTGAGCATAGCGGGTGGGTGAGTTGAGTAGGTGGTAGGTGGGTGGGTGAGTGGATGGGTGGGTACGTGTGTGGGGATTTCGGTGGGTGGGTGAATGTGTGGGTGGGTGACTGAGTGGGTGGTCGGTGGGTGATTGAGTGGGTGGGTGGGTGAGTGGGTGGGTGAATAGGTGGGTGGGTACGTGTGTGGGGAAGTTGGTGGGTGGGTGAGTGAGTGGGTGAGTGAGCGGGTGAGTGAGTGGTTAAAGTGGGTGATGTTGAGTTGACTGCAGTTGAATTGTTTATTTGCACTGAAAGTTCATCGATAAAATCTGATTTACAATTACAGAGTCAAGAAACACTGACATTACAATAATCATCAACTGAAGAAATGTGTATGTACCTTTAATTAATTGTGCTGTTTTGCGGGGAGGGGGGAAACATAACTGTCACGTATTGAAGCTACATCACTGCGTTTTGTTTCAGCGCTGGAGGAATCTACTTCGAAAACTGCGCAACAGCCAGAGTCGCGAACAGCAACTTTGAGTCGAACACAGGGAGAGAAGCAGTCTATTTTAATTCCTATTACATACAGCGTGAACTCTATTTGGTCGACAATGTATTCACATCCAACGTGATGGATTCGAGTTCTTTAAAATCGCTTGTCACCATAAGCGTTGGTTATATGGCCGAGGACGTTGCCTTCAGCCTGTCTGGAAATGAGTTTCAAAACAACGCGGGGACATCCATTGTGTCGATTACTTGCAGCTATGGATTGTGTACCGTTGGATCAAGGCAGGGAGTTACCAACAACAATTTTCAACAGAACGTGTGTCCACACACTGGAGCCGTTGTAAAGGTACGATTCATATGTTAGTTATTATTGGTCGATGACATTTTTATCTTGAAGGTGAAGTAGTCTCATTGAACACTTTAGAAGTGTAGCCGTCACCATTGCCGTTGTCACAATAACATTCGGTTTTATGTTGACGGACACCGCATCATACGGCGCTTTCAGATGCTGCTGCTGCTTCTGCGGCTGTCTGGAATGCTCTTCCCTTCCGATATTAGAAAGCCACTGGGAGCTATGATGCACTTTAACATCATCGTCTATATTTACAAACTCACTTCTTTAGAATTGCTGATTGAAAGAAGTTGTACACACACACATACAGGTGAAATGACAGCGTGTATGGTGGACCCCTCCTAACGGCGAAAATTTGTTCCACGAAACCGGTCGTTAAGTGATTTGGTCGTTAATAGAGTATAGGAAATACACGTTAAAGGCTTAATTCGTTCCGATAGCATCGAAAGTTACAATTTTTCACGCAAAGAACGTACTCTATAATATTTAGACAAAGTATATTAATGCATAAAGATACTAACAACGTTATATACACATAATATTAAAAGAATAATGGTTAATCAATACATTCATTATTAGTTACTGTACCTACAACAGCCCGTCGTTAGCAAGAGAATGGTCAGTGGTCAAAATAAAATAAATAAAAAATGAAAACAACTAAATTAAATCACGACGTTTCAGGCGCAACACAAGCGTCCGTCTTCAGTTGGGGACAAAACACAGCGAAAGAACAATCGCTTAAGTTTGCCTAAGAGATGGCTGTGACGAGGGATTATATAGCTGCGGATAGGGGGGGGAGGAGCCAGGGTGAGTGTGGGGGCGGGGTGTGGGCTGGGAGGTGGGCATGGAGTTCAAACTAAAGCTTTGTGATGCAGGGGGTGGATGGCGGAAGTTGAGCTGGTTAATAAGAAAGCTAAGTTAAGCCGATTCTAGATTTTAAGTTTTCGTGACTACAAGGATCTATACTCTTTGGTTTTTTAGTAAAGTCATGTAGGTGAAAAAAAAAAAATATAAAAAATGAAAACACCTAACTAAATCACCAATACACTACACTACTATACTCTAAACTACACTATACACTACGATACTATAGACTACTATACACTACACTATGATACAGTACACAATACACTGCTATACACTACTATACACTCCACCATTATACACTACTATACGCTATACTATTATACACTACACTATACACTGCTATAAACTACGCAATACACTACTATCAACTTTGCTACAAAATACTAAACACTAAACAATACACAATTATACTCGAAACACTACTATAGACTCCTATCCACTATAATATAATACACTACACTATGCACTGATATACAATACACTGCTATACACTACACTATACACTGGTATACACTACACAATATACTACCATACACTAAACTACTATACACTACACTATACACTACACTATACATTACTATACAATACTATACAATACATTACTATACACTACAACCAAAGAGTAAGTTTAGCCAGGGAGTGGCCTAGGGCTGCTGGGGGAAGTGCTAAGCTCTGCCAGCTCCAAACAACGCGCGGTAAATATCCAAGTGATGGGAGTAAGCAGGGCTTGGTGTCAAAAACTGGGAATATGGATATGAATATGAATATAAACTAGCTGCCTTGCAGTTTATGTATCAATATGCAAAGATTTGCTTTTTAAAAATTGATCTTTCTTTTACAGGTGCAAGATGCATTGCTTGGAGTCGAACGTAACATATTCAATAACCTAGAGAGTGCAGACTATGACCTGTGGGTGTCTTTGAGCGATGCCGGACATCAGTTGAATGCCACAGAGAACTCCTGGTCAGTAATAAGAGAGGTGGATGTGCTGGCTCGGATCAAATACCCCGAGTATGTTCGATGGAAGCCTTTTTTGAAGGACCTCAACTTCAGCTGTGAAGGTGTCAACAACTGCAGTGGTAATGGCGCCTGCACCTGGCAAAACCACTGCAGGTAAAGGCGCCGCTGTCTTTGCAAAATAACGCGCCCCCACTGCTTCTTTGCAGCCACCATGAGGTCGGGTGGTAACATTTAAGATGTCGAAATCCACATTTTAATGGATAGTGGTGGTGACACGGAGGCTAAAAGATGTTATCTCCCTTGCCTGGTATATAGGAGGTCGTGATTTTGATCCCGACCCTGATGCCTGCTGTATATTTGGAGTTTGCGTATCTCTCTCCCCATGGTCGCGTGGATTTTTTTCTCCAGGTCCTCCGGTTTTTTCCTCCACATTTATAAACATGTGTTGAGATTATTTAGATGATTTGGCTGCTGCTATACAAATGACAACTCTAGTATCAAATCCTCATAGCCATGACGAGCTCACGTAATCATCGTAGCCGCGTCTTGGCACTTCTGGCAAGAAGTCTTGTCGAGATCATGGCAGTGGCTCAAATCGAATTCGGTGGCTCAATCAGTCACCCCATGCGATACCGTCCCCTCTATAGACTCCTTTGTTTTTGCCCATGCGCGCTCTCGCGCCCACACTTCACGCACAGAGAGCTCCCTGGAGGGGGGGGGGAGAAGGAGTTTAGTAGCGGCGACACCCCCATTTTTGTACATGCACCAAATTAGAAGGCCTCTAGCAACAATGGACCAGGGATTGATATAATTCCAGAGAAATGTATCACCAACACCTCGTGTTGCGAATTGACCGCTGTTGTGCGCAACGTCGAAATGCCATCACTCATCACAAAAAAATCAACAGCCACTCGCATGGCCTTAAGCGTGTCGCATATCTATTGTGCAGTGATAATATTATGCGCGAACGAGCTTTCGCTACAACTGAGGATCTCTGCGTGAGTGCAACACATGACACGGAGCTGGATATAGCATGTGCCCGCTTACTGATTTGCAAAGGGGGGATGTGGGAGCTTTCAGGAGGTAGATCGGTAGAGGGAGTGAATCAGGTAGCCATGTGTGTAATTACATCAATTTTTAACCCCTTTTCCCATGCCCGATAACGTCTGCAAGTCGCAGGGTGGTGGGTGGGTGTCCCATTCACTGCCAAATATCGGAATGCGAGAGCGGATCTCAGCGTTAGTTTTATGTAGATAGGCGTGGTAGTTTGTATAAGGACGTTGTACTGTACTAATTGCAAAGAAGCGTGACATGGCCACTGCCACTTTATGATAGCTGGCACCAAAACTGTACCACATGCCTCTCCGCCATGGCCTTTTGGGTGGGAGTCTTGCTGCCGATTTTAGTTTTTATTTTCGGTTTCGTTTTGATGACTTATGCACATTACGTCATCGGAAAGGAATTAGAAGGAAAAACCAATGACGTACACATTCGTCATCAAAAGCAAAAACTGATGTACACGTTCGTCATCAGTTTTTGTCCAATTAATGATGTAACCACCCTACCCCCGTCCACCAACCACCCCTACCTCCCCTACCCTCTCGGCAGGTGCTATCCTGGCCACGCTGGGGCTGCGTGTGAGAAGTTTGTCTGTGACAATGTGCAGCAGTGCAACCGACGGGGCCGCTGCGTGGGGCCCAACTGGTGCTTGTGTGATGAGGGCTGGACGGGAGCAGCGTGCACCGAGGTCTCGTGCAGCACCGTCAACAACTGCAGTGGCCGCGGGGTCTGCTACGCGCCTGAGTCGTAAGTCATGCGGCTCCATTGTATTTATATGGTAGGGCTGATCGTGAGGCCACACCACTTAGTGGCACATTCTAGGTTCAGCACCAGCGCCTCCAACTCCGTCTCTGAGTGAGCAGAAATGACCAGATCATCAGCATACTTAACATGGTTGTGTTGGGGCCGCTGATCCCCGAAGTCCCTCCCTGCTCCGTGCCTATGGCAGGGGCTCCGCCGTGCGCCGACCCCTCGCTGCTCTGCGAGCAGCTGCTGCCGTCGCTGGGCTCATCGCCCGACGGCTCCCCTCCCTGGTCCGTCCCTCCGCGAGCTCGTGTGAGAGGCATAGCTCGCCGCACACCCTCGTTCACCTGCAGACGCTGCGTTGTCTCTCCACGGATCACGCTCTATTAAACGGGGGTCAGGGGTCGGAGGGCGAACGACTCTGCCCTCACACTGCGCGAGTCCCGGCGGCGACAGACGGAGCGGGGACCTGCGGACGCACCGACCCCTTCCCCCACACTACGAGCGCACACACCTGCACACACGCGACACCCACTCGTGCGCCGCTCTACGCAGCGCTCACTCACGTGGCGAACCACGGTGTACACACGCGCACCCACACGTTCCCACTGCTCAACAAGATCACGCGAGGCCACGCTTCGCTATTAATGATTTATTATTTGCTAACTGCGAATTGATGTTAAATCAGTTTGATTTGATGAGGCTGGCCTATTCCACTAAACCTGTACCTATCCCCTATCTATCGGCTAGTATTCTACTTCACCTCCCCACTCACTGTTTGATGCCCACGGTGGTTCGCTGCTCCCTGTGCTAACAGCGCACCTCGATGCGTCGCACGGACGTCCGGGTCGCTGGCTGGAGCTGCGGGTGGTCCTCTGGCCTGGAGAGAAAAGCCCATTTCCCCTCTGCGCCCCTCTATTTATCCTCCCTACCTCAAAGGGGATGCTGCGCTGAACAATGGGCTCGCGCACCCCGAGCCCGCGCACGGCGGTGCCGGGCGCTGTTGATATGCTAATCAGTGAGCGACGTTGGCGGCGTACATCCTAATTAACCCCTTACCCTCCCTAACAATGGGGCCTGCGCGCTCAAGCGCAATTATCCCAACCCTCCATGACTATGCGCAACAGCCCCTGTGATCCCACTATTCATGCTGTCCCGTGCCTCCCCTGCTTGCCCCGTCGACTCGTGGGGGTGTGTGTGGGGGGAAATGCGCCTCAACCGCGGTGGCCGAATGCCCCACGCCGCGACCACACAATATTAAGGCCGGCCGCAGCGCCGCGGTGCCACGTAGCACGGGGGAGGTCATCCAATTCCCTGATCGCCGGAAACCGTGAGAATTAATCCCGATAAGGGTCTCTCGGATAAAAACCGGTCGGCCAGGCGACCTCCCCTCGGAGCTCTATGGGGGGGGGGAAATGAGTGCGGGTGTGTTCATGTGAGGTGAGGTGAGGGGGACGCGGGGTCGGCTCCGTTGCTTGGTGGTGGCGAGGTCGGGGATTTGGTGCCTGCCGAACGGCTTCGTGGCGGCGGCATCACATAGCCCCCCGAGGTGCCAGTCCCCGTCCCGGGTTGACTGGAGCACCTCGCTTGGGCCGCGCCCACGAGGAAACGTTGCGGGGTCCGGGGGATCCGTCCGGACCTGGTGGCTGGCCTCGGGGCGAGTGGTTCCGTCCTCTGTAGCTCCTGCGGCGGTCTCCTCCTCCACTCCAGCGGCTCTCCCCGTCCACCGGCACCTGTGGGCTGGGGCACAAACTCAGCAGCGGAAGGGTTTAGTGGCCGTCGTCCGCGCCGTCTCCGGACTGGATCGGGGCGTCTCGGGGGCCCGGCGGGGCCCATGTAGTGTGCGAGGCCCCCCAACACGAGGGGTGCGGGTACTCCGGGATTTCGGGGCTTTCGGGTGACGGAGTCCTCTCTCGCCGGGGCCGCTTTCCATGGTTTTAAGCGGCGGACATTGACCACCGTCTCTCGACCCCTCTCCCCGCCGTAAATTAGTACCGTCCAGGGGGATATCTGCCGCACCACGGTCCAGGGTCCCCGCCAGTAGGTCGTCAGTTTCCCCACCTGCCCGGCCCCGACGCGAGGGGTGTGTAGCCACACCTTAGCGCCTGTCAGGAATAAGGGGGGTTCCATGCGGGGTCGGGTGCCCTGTTCCTGCCGCTGATGCACGGCTTCCCCTTGCGGGTATGCTCGGCCTCGGGCTTCTCGCAGGGTCTCCAACAGGTGTTCCACGGGGCGGCTTCCCTCCTCCGGCTGGGGGGAAGGGACGCCGAATAGCAGATCTGCGGGTAAACGAGACTCACGGCCGAACATCATTAAAAACGGGGTTTGTCCCGTCGACGTGTGTACGGTGGTGGCGTAGGCGAAAAGGGTGTAGGGGAGGTGTTCGTCCCAATCCCGTTGATTTGCGGCCGCCATACGTTTGAGTTTCCCCGCTAGGGTCTGATTCATGCGCTCTACCATACCGTTCGCTTGGGGGTGATACGCTGTGGTTCGGTCCTTCTGGATTCCGAATTCTCGGCACAGTGCCTGGAACAGCTCGGCCTCGAACTCGCTACCCTGGTCGGTGAGGACTCGTTCCGGGATCCCGTGCTTGAGTACGTAATGTTCTACGAATGCCCGGGCCACCACCAAGGCCGTTTTATCAGGGATGGCCACTGCCACGGGGTAGCGGGTGAAATACTCTACTGCAACTAGAATATACCGGTTGCCTCGATGGGATCGTGGGAATGGCCCCTGTAGATCGATCCCGACCAGCTGATTCGTGCGGCTGACGCGGAACGGCCTTAGGGGTACCTGGTATCGTGCCGGTTTCGGCCCGCACTGCTGACAGGCGCGGCAGCCCTGTACCCAGGCCGCCACGTCTTGTGCCAATTTGGGCCAGAGATACTGGCGACGCAGGGTCTCTCGAGTGCGTCGTTCCCCATCGTGGCCCCCGAGTGGGTGGTCATGCACCAGCCATAGCAGCTGGGGTCGCACCTGGGCAGGAACACAGATGCACCCCGGCTGGCCGGCCTCGGTTAACTCCCGTACCACTCCGTTCTGCACACACAACCGGGCATACAAACCACTCCAGGGTCCTGGTAGGGCGCTCTTTTCCTCCCGCAGTGCCGCCTCCACAGCCGCCAGATCCGGATCTCGCTGCTGGGTCTGTCTCAGCTGCTCGTCGTTCAGGCCCGGGAAGGCGCAGCCGACGTCCTCCTGGATCCGTCCGATCGGGTCCCGAGCCGCGGGTCCCGCGCTTGCCGGGCGGTCGACGGGATCCTCGGTGCCACCTGTGAGGGTCTCTGTGGCGCACACTGCACTCTCTCTCGCTGGGGGGGGGTCAGTGGCCGCGGCCTCTTGGGGGTCCGTTGCCTGCCGGCAGCGTCCCCCCGTGAAACAGGGGCAGGCCTCCTCCGCCCTTGTCTCGGCGTACACCGTGGGCCGCCTCGACAAGGCGTCCGCGTTTGCATGCGTCCGGCCAGCCCGATACTCGATTTGCAGGTTGTACTCCTGCAACTGCGCCAACCAACGGGCCATCTGCCCCCGCGGCTCCTTGAATGTAAGAAGGAACTGAAGAGCATAATGGTCAGTGCGTACGCGACATCTCCTGCCGTACAAATACGGCCGGAACTGCTTACATGCGAAAATCACGGCGTACAACTCTTGGCGGGTCACGCAATAGTTCAGCTCGGCCCCACTCAAGGTCCGGCTGGCGTACGCGATGACTCGTTCCGTCCCATCCTGTACCTGTGACAACACCGCGCCCAGCCCGCTGCTGCAGGCGTCGGTGTCCAAAATAAAATCGGTGGTAAAATCGGGGAAAGCGAGGGTGGGGGCGTGGGTGAGGTGGTCTTTGAGAGTGGTGAAGGCCGTCTGGCAGGCCCCCGTCCACTGATAGGGGTGCTTAGGGGAAGTGAGTTGGGTGAGGGGGCGTGCAATCTCGCTGAATCCCTTTACAAATCAACGATAATAGGTGGCGAGCCCCAAAAATGATCTGATCTCCGTCAGATTCCTTGGCCGTGGCCACTCCACTACGGCGCGTACCTTCTCCGGATCAGTACGCACGCCTGCCTCGCTGACGCGATGCCCGAGGTACCCCACCTCGCGTTGTGCGATGTAACACTTACGTGGCTTGAGCTTGAGATGAGCCGCTCGCAGTCGCTGGAACACCTCTCGTAGCCTGGACCAATGCTCAGACAAAGATCTACTGAACACGATCACATCGTCCAAGTAAATCAGGCACTGTTCCCATTGCAAACCCCACATCACCAACTCCATCAGCCGCTGGAACGTCGCGGGTGCATTGGTGAGTCCGAACGGGAGTACTCGAAACTCGAATAGTCCCATCGGGGTGGTGAATGCGGTTTTCGGCCGATCCTCCTCCGCCATCTCCACCTGCCAGTACCCGGACGCGAGATCGAGGGTGGAAAAATATCGCGCTCCGGCGAGGCTGTCAAAAGTGTCGTCGATGCGGGGTATGGGGAAGGCATCGCCGAGCGTGACTGCGTTCAGTTTACGATAATCGACGCAGAACCGGGTTGACCCATTCTTTTTCGTTACTAGTACCACCGGGGCTGACCAGGGGCTCGCCGAGGGCTGAATTATGTTATCGCGAAGCATGTCCCCAACCGCCTCTTTGATCTGGGTGCGTTCGGGTGCGCCCACTCGGTATGCAGGGAGTTTGATGGGTCGGGCTGCACCGGTGTCAATTTGGTGCTTAACAAGGTCGGTCCGACCCACGTCCGAGTCGTGTTCGCTGAACACGTCGGCATACTCCTGCAGTAACTCGCGCAGCCGATCGGCCTCTCCCTTAGGTAAATCCGCCCATGGTACATGTAACGCGTCGAGCAGGGGAACGACTTCGGCTCGGGGAGTCAGGCCGACTCGCCAGGCCAGGTCCTGGTCACCCTCAGGACGACCGGTGTCCTCAGCCCAGAGTGCGAACACCGAGTCGTTAGAGTGGCGTGCGTGCAGGGGGTGTACGGTGGCTATCGGGGTGCGCCGTCGCAGTATCGCTGGGG